AAAAAGAAAAAAAAAAGTTTCTTCTACCCAAGACTTGTAAAGAATATACGAACCTGAGGGCAGAAACAGGTTTCCCCGCCCCTAAAGCTTGCAAAGACTTTCCCCCTGTAAAACAGGGGCCCTGTGTCTCAGGAGAAAAATGGAGGTCATCACAGACTGCCTTCACCTCCACTTGTACGTGAAGACATTTCTACACATAACAGGAGCCACTTAATAAAAATCTGTACTATGAGGGAGACAGGGTTAACACCAGGCCAGCTGAAGCTGGGTCTGGGGGTAAGATGAGGGGGGCTCACTTTCCTCAATTAGAAACCTGGGGGGAGCCCCTTCCAACCCTATAATCCCTGTACCAGAATCAGTTTCTCCTGCATGGCAAGTGCTTGCTAACAGTGTTTTGTGGGGAGCAGAGGGGGGTGGCGATACAACTCAGCCCCAACCTTCTGCAGGGGGATGCCTGTGCCCATTCAAGGACCCATCCTTTTCCTTGGAGGTCTGCTCCAACTCCATCCATGGCCATTGCTGGCCCCACCCCCACCCCTTCCAGGAATGGCCATGGTTCCCATTTACTACAGACCTTCCCTCCCACATTTTAAAAATGAATAACTTGAGGCGTGTGCTGGTGGTTGGCAGGAGGATCCCGAAAGTTCCTGTGTGGTGTGACATCTATCTTGCTGGAGTTAGTGAGGCAGAGAACATGGGAGGGAGTGGAGAGAAATGAGGAGGGAAGATAGATTCTAGGGAGTTATTTAAGGATGAACACATAATACAGAAAATGCTGTGGCCCTGGCTGGGAGGCTTGTGGAATAAAGAGGTAGCTAGAGGAAGAGGAGATAAACAATCCTTCAGAGATACGGAAAATCAGACCCTGTCTTGTGAGTGTACAAAGCATAAAAGGTCTTTCATACCAAACACAATCATGCTGCTTGTTTCACAAGTCTATCTGGAGCATTTCCTTTTCTGCCCCAGAATACGAACCTGGTAGAAGTCTGAGCTAAGTGGTCACTGCAGGGAAACCTGGGTTTGAAAGGGGCTCTTTGGCTAATAGCCTGCGGCTACAGTCTTCCTGGATGGAATACTGCTGCCCCTCCTGGCTCTCCCTCCCTGAGAACCTACACCCTCTCCCATCCTCACACGCCTTAAAAATGGTGCCTTCCTGACATATCCTTTCACAGCATGGAAACAAAGCAGAGAGGGAGACAAAGGCTGGAAGAAAGGGTAGCATGATGAAAAATGAGGAAGTTTCCCAAATGAAGAGTGGGCCCATCACCAGGCGATTGTGTACAGTGCCTCCGAGGCCATTGGTACCCTAGAAAAATGAGCTGAGGAGGGGGCTGGAAGTGGCAGCCCCGAGTTTCTCAGACACTGGCCCCATCTCAGGGTCAGATTCTCACGGACAAGAATTGCTCTCCATGTCCCTGATGTCCCAAGTGCTTTGGAGCAGGCAAACACACACACACACACACACACACCCCTTTCATTCTTAAAGGTGCTCTGAACTTTCCCTCCCAAGGTACCCTGAAATGGAAAAGTGAAAACTAAGTCACTTTCCCACTGATGGGGTTGGGTCCATGTTCCTCTTCCACCTAAAGCTACTCTGGTTTTTCTTCTCTCCAAATGTATTTTAAATGAGAGAGAGAGAGAAGAGAGAAGAGAGAGAGAGAGACCTGTTGGTGCTGTAACACAAGCCACCCAGCAGCAGCTTTCTGCCCTGAGACCCCAGGCACCTGAGGAACTGTTGGCAAGGGAGACAAGGCATCTTCCCAGAACAGCAGCTGACTCGGAGATCCCATCTCAGAGGCTGTCCCACCCACTTCCCATGGACCAGACAGACAGTACCACACAGCTGAGGACCAGCAAGCGTACTTGCAAGGGACAATTAAATATAGGCCTTTGTACAGGGTTCTGCTTGTTCCCCGAGGAAGCAGGCTCTTTGAATCTTGGACCACATTTTAAATAAATCTCCAGCAGAACTCAAATCCACTTAGCAAATGATAGCTTATTCTGAACATTCTGGCCCAAAACAAGCTACATAGAAAGACAAGAAGAGGATCTTAAATCAAAGCTGTGTTCCAGTGACTACACAGAAAAACAGTTCCCACTGCTGTTTTCCTTTCTGGTTACCATCAGAGGTGTGTGATTTTTTTGCTAACTCATATTCTTGTGAAAAAGTGGCCCCACAGCTTGAGAGGAAGGCAGTTTAGGGGCACTCTGTAAGCAAAGGCCGGGGCGAAGGCTGACAATAGCCATTCTGAAAGAACTTTGAATGGAAGTGTTTAGTTCACTCACAATATCAAAATGCAAGGGAGTTGAATCTCCACCACACCCCCTGTTACCTACATAAGGCAGCCTATATTCAGGGAAAACTACTGTGTTCCTGAGGCTGAACTCCTGGCTCCTGATCCAGCATATACATTAGCACATTTTAATCATTAACAGGAAGGACAAAGCCCTAAGAAACTTTGCAGACCGGGACTTCAGACCATTTTCCCATTCAGTTAGAGGACTGGCTTCCAGACCTGTATTATTTTAGTTTATGAAGCCGCTTGGCTCAAACATCCACTGACAACTCTTTTTTGTTCTCAATGAATGCACTTTTCAGGAGGTTTTTTAAAAAGCATTTTATCCATCCGTGATGGATATTAAGCCAACGTTTTATCTTCGGTCAGTATAAACAGTTAATTGCTTTGATAAATTGCTTCTTATTTTAGGAGTTACTGCAGCCATATTAACTATAAGGGCTTGTTTTGCATAAAAGGAAAGAGACCTAAAATAGTCACACTAGAAAACGCACACAGGACCTAGTCTGTCAGATACTGCCCTGTGCTATCAAACCAAACCAGAGGTAAACTGATGTGTCAAATTCTTTGCCTTTTGTCCAGTTTTAATGCCATCTCCTCCCTGAATAGAACAACAAGTTCAACAACATATTTAAAAGAAAGAATTAGATTGTGAGTGATACAATTAAACTTTTTCTTTTAAGTTGCTAGGTTGAGGTCTGAATGAAGGATGTGCTTTTATATCAATTGCCAAAATCGCAAATGTAAATTGGACCATTTCTAATTAAAATTCTTTCAGGAACTAAAAAGAAAGCTTTTAACATATAGATCTCTATAGCCTCAGGGACTATCTATATTAGGAAAATTAGAAAGTGATTCATTTCCAACACACCCAGCATTCTGAAAGACGACAATATTTAGTTTGCTGCTTGGGCCATTTGAATTGTGGCTTAAGTTAGAAAACCGTTAACAGTTAAAAGAGTTTTGGAGCTTAAAAGAGTATCACTGACTCAGCTTTCCTCCTCTACTTTTGAGAAACCAAAATAAGGGTGCTGCTTCTATTGTAACCAAAATGTTTCTTAAAAAAAATTACACATTCAGAAAAAATAATGGCGTCTTAGATGCTCCCCTCCTGATTGGGTGAAGTAAATCCAGAAGGTAAAAAAGGAGTGTGGGAACAGGAATTAACACAGGTAGCAATAAGGACACACATCCCCAAGCCACTATTCTGCAGGAAGATTCCCTGGGGATCAGGCTGGTCAGTAACCACTAAGGACTTTTTCTAGGAGAAAAGTTTATATATATATAAAATATGTTAAGTGGTCTCCTACCTATCTGCATAACCCTGCCAAACACGGAGGTGTTATCCACAGTGCTGCAGTTCCATCGCCGATGCCGGAACTGATACTGGCATTCTTTGATGCCCGTCTTCGCGCCTTCACCAATGTACTGCATGTGGTCCTGGTACAAGTGGCAGAGTTTCTTCTGTCCTTGAGAGAGTCCTGCCAGCTGGCTGCAGAGAGGCTGTGCTCCTATGATATATACTTCTGACATCTGAACAGGGTTATTCATACCTAGCGACCTGGAAAGGGGTGGGGGGGGGAGATGTGCCTTTAAGATTTACGTGAACTCTGGAGGTGGCCCCCAGAAAGCATGTCAGCAAGACATAGTTCTAAGCACACAGATGCTTTTCTCTCCTGCTTGTCCTCATGACAAAGTATGAGAAGGGTTTCATAAAACTCCTCTGTTTCAGCTCCACTCAGAAAACGGAGGTATTGTGTAGTCCCCATCCCGCCATCTGGCCCCTCAGAGTTTTTAACTCCCTTCCTTGCCCCTACCCCGGCCATATACCTGATCCAGTATTTCCAAAACCCACTCAGAAAAGAGGTACACAGCCGTTTCGGGACAAATCTCTGACTTTAGAGAAAGTGACTCACTTTGCCCCACAAATTGGACCGATCTGCCTTGAAAAATTGTATGATTGCCGAGGAAAGTAGACACAATTAGACACGGGTGGCAGATAGCAGCTCCTTTTGACTGATGGAAGAACAGTGGGACAAGTATGTAGACGGGAGAAACTTCACCATGCTCTGGACAGCTTAAAAGGGCTCCTTATATATGATTGTGAAGGACCCAAGACAGGGTATCCAGTGAACAGCAGTCATGTTTGACAGTCAGAAAAACACTGCTCATTCACAGGGAAAAATATCCAGAACGCCGTCAAAAATAATCCTCTGGATATACTGCAGCCTATCTTCCAGGGCCCTGCCAGAAAGAAACCCTCTCAGTCAGGGCCATTGGACCACTTCAAGTTCACCTTTTCTTGACCGAATTTTGAGCCCAAATACTTCTCGACTTGAAGTTCAGTGGTCTTCCTAGAACTCTCCCTACAGTAGACCCTGAAGGTTAATAACCTCAAGTGACAGAAAAATAAAAGTTGGAACTCACTTTTACTACCTAGAGGTGGCAAAACGTAAAATTTATAGATAGGCTTTCGGTGATTAGAGAAGTGACTTTTGGTTCCCTTCTAGGATATGATGTGCTACGAGCATACATCTGAACAAGGGCCTCACAGAAATAGGCCTAGCTTTATAAGCTCTGATTCCCAATGGAGCTCTAGATAAGCTTACCAATATTAGCAACTGAAAAAGAAAGTTCTTACTTAAAAATACATGCAAATAAAAAAATGTATTATATGTGTATTAGATAAATGCACCCAAACTCGTGATTTAGCTTTAAATATCACAGCATCCTACAAATGTATCTTTTAAAAAATAATATATATGCACATAGAATGAACTTACCACCAAGAATTGGCTTCTATTACAACCTGGGCGAAGGAGAAAAATATGGCCAAAGCCATTAGGAAGAACTTGGAAGACATGGCACTCCCAGCCGTCCCCAAAGCAACTCCTGGGCTTAATATTCCAGTGGACTTCTGGAGAGGGAAGAAAGGAGCAGATGTTTATTGCCTCTCAGATAATCTCCCAGCACACAAGTTTAAACAACGGAAGCATCCGGTCTCTCAGGTCTACTGTCGATGGGCTGCGCTTCTCCTCCGTGAGTTGTTTGATGAGAAGATATAGGCAGTTTCTTTTTCCAAATTAATCCACCCACGCAACCTCACCAGGAAATCTGATTTCTCTGGGATCCTGCACGCGGGGCACGCCAGCGATTACAAACATGTCTCAAGGCTGTGGAGTCAAAGCCCGGGTGCCAGGCGCTGCCTCCTTCCTGCTCGCTCGTGTCCCGCACCCCCTCGCTCCCCTCTAGTTCGCACAGTGCTAGGTCCCTCCGTGGGAATTCACTTGGGACC